TTTCATAAATTTTGTTCTTTTCTCACTGAACGACCGTTCAGTAAAATCGTTTGTTAAATAAATTCTTTCTTTCTTTAACATTTACTTTTAAGTAAGGTTTAAAATATATTTTGAAAAATCGTTATCATTTGGATTTTACTAAATTTTTAATGTAATAAACATAAAAAATACATCAAAATAAACATAATAACTGAACTAGATAAAGAAAAGGTGAATTTACTTCACAATTCCCATGGTTCGTAAAGGAAGCTTGAACATTACGCAATATGCACGAAAATGTAAGAAACTTAGAATCCCGGGCACTTAGGTTATACGCCCATTCCGTATCTGACGTATCTAGTACAGTAATAAGGTGTTGTGGGGAGGGGGTAAGAAGTTTAACAGTCGAGAGAGGGGGGGGGGTTCCAAACCAGACAAGCCAATTTTAGCCAGACATAGGGACTTAGCAACATATTCACTATGGTGAAAGTAGGCAGTGGTCGCTTTAAAAAACAGGATATCAGTAAATTTGAAAACAATAAGTTCCAAATTAAATAATGCAGTTTTATACAGATAAGAGGGCGTTTGAATAGTAATTTTGAAAGTTGAAGTTTAGTTTAAAATATGAAAAATCTGAACGGACTGATCGGACTGCCTGGACCTGTTGCCACGAAGATTTGTATGCACTGTATCCTGGAGAACTGGGTCAGGGTGTTTGCAATGTGCAAATGCTCCTCAAGAAAGCAAATTAGCAAGGAACATAGTAACTAAAAAAATACGCTTTCTGATCGATTATGTTTTTTTTTGTAACTTGTAAAACTTTTTTTTCAACAAAATTCAAGATTACAAAATACTAAAAGAAAACTCGCCTGGAAGCTCTAATTTTCCAATCCTTATATCTTTGCACCCGAAGTTTGAAAATTGAAATTATGAATTCTATTACATTGAATAGGCAAACCGCAAAATTTTAAATATCGCAGGTTTACCAATACCAAGATGTTGTAAAGATAATAGAATTACGGGGTTTGAGACGAATAATTAGTTCCTTGCAACAAATACAAGAATATAAAACTTTTATTTTGAATATTTCTCAAAATTTTTCTGAAAGGGCTCTTTGAATATGATATGCATCATTTATAATTTGCAAAGTTGTTGCTCATCTCTTGGATTTAGTGATCGAAAAATTTCAGCACGTTCGTCGCTTATGGTACTTTCATAAGTTACCTCCCCCCCTGGCGTTTATTTTTTACAAATAAACCAAGCCCATGCCCAACATAATAAGAAAAAGTCAAGTTTTTTTCTCCCGCCAAATCTTAAAAGAAACAATGCTCCATGCATTTCATCCTTTCCTTCCGCACTGTCTACAGTTAGAATCCTTGCGCTTTTAATACGTTGTTACTATCTTACCCATGATTATGAATCGAAATAATAATTTTTTATCGGTCCTAGCAACATTTTTCAAATTTAAGAACAAATGGAACTCGCTCCAAACTCAAATGTTTAATTCAAAAACCCTTATATCTTTGCAACTTGATTTGTAAACTACAGATATTTCAAACTTTGACTATTTGATCTATTAAAGTTCATAGTTTGAAATATCCAAGGTCTACGACATCAGATTGCAAAGATATTAGGAATTCCGAATCAGATTTAGAGGCAGCTAATTAGTTATTTTGTGTTAGGACTCCAAAATGTAAGAAGGCGTTGCTCAGTATTCGATGAATAGTTTCATTATTTTTATGAAGATATTTCAATCATATAATTTTGAATGATTTGAATGATTAAAAAATTATTTACGAAAGTTTAGATTTGCGTGAGTTACATCTTTTCAGTATCTGATGAACTTTCAATATTGCGTCTTTCAATTTTCAAACAAGCAAAGGAAATGTTAGTCAAGAAAGCGTACATTTTAAAGTTTAATTTCATGCTTCATTCATGGCCGACAGTTTACTTTCAATTCATGCAATTTCTTCGTAAATTTAGAAAGCAGCACTTTTAAAAGGATGAGGGATTGCAAACACATTAAATTCATGTATAACGGGGTTCTTCAAAAAATATGAGAATTTCCTTATATATGATGATTTAAAGGGACTGTAATGGAAAAATGAAAGGGGGTATAAGCTGAAAGCTAATCACTTTAGCTCTCGATCGCGACCCATGAAAGTTATATCTGATGTTCCTATCTCGAGAAACTGATATACAAATTTGTCAAATTTATACGAAAATTAATATATATACAATTTTGTATAAAAGTAGTGGTGTTAAAAAGATACCCCAGATATCCCAGAGAAAGCTAATTGTAACTTAGGTGTACTCCAATTCTAATTTTATATTTGTTATTTCTATTTTTTATAGATTTAATTCATAATATTATTAATATGTCCGTATTGCTTGACCAAAAATTCCAACAATGAAAGTGCAGTAAAGTGGTCACGTGATACAGGTGGAGACACGTGACCAGTATACTGCTCTGCCAATGGTGATAGTTCTGGTCACGTGATTTAAGTTTAAGATTTTCTAAATTTTACATATATGAACTTTCGTATAATTTTAACACAGTTTATATCAATTTCTCGAGACAGGAACATCAGATAAAACTTTCATGGGTCGCGATCAAGAGCTAAAGTGATTAGCTTTCAGCCTATACCCCCTTTCATTTTTCCTTTACAGTCCCTGTAAAGGAATTTTTACGAATAAAATAACTAATTTGACAATGAAAATTAATTCCAAATTTAAGTTGCTAAATCATATATCTAAGTTACAGTTACAGACAGTAATATCGCCATTAGTTTGTCCCAGAAACACGAGAGAAGACACATTAATAAAGTTAAGTCGCACGCACATCACGGTGGACTTGGGTCACTTTGAATTCGAACCGGACAAACCGACAGACCCCTTCTACCATCTTTAGTGGCGCGTACCGACCCGAACCTAATCTAATTCAACGTTAATGGCGAAGCCAGACTTTTTACATTACCAGACCTATCATAAGCCTATTTGACCAACCCCACTGTCTTAGTTTATAGCGACATCTAAGAACTTGTGTGTATACTGCATCCCACAACTTTTTGATGCATTGGAAGTAGTCTCATATTGAAAGGAGTGGTTAATGTAAAATCTGAAGAAGATTTTTTTTCTTATGGCATAGTCGTAAGGAATAGTATCATATCACTAACTAATTTAACTTTTCTTTGAATTAAAAACTTCTAGTTTAAAATGCATTCATAAAGTGTTTTCCAGTATTTTTTTGTTTTATTTGATTTTTTGAAAACTTACTTTTTCTCATCTTTGTAGGTTTGTATCAGAACATAATAAATATTTATCTTTATGTTGTGTAGGTTTTACTATTCTCACAGTCATTGATTATTTAGAGGCTAAATTGTATGTTACAACTTTTTAAAACTTCAAGGGGTTTCTGTCTCCATGAATTCTCTAATAATGTTTTACCCATCCTGTGAATCTCAAACTAATCCTAAAGGAACTCTATAATACATTCCATAAAGTTAAGATTAACTATAATTAAATCTGAGGCCAAATTTAAAGAATTTGAGCCGCGGCTTAAATTTGAGACGTGGCTCAAATATGGTTGGTTCCACTTAAAATTGTATTCAATGTTTCAAGATTTAAGCCGGCGCTCAATTAAAACCGGATTTTAGAGGATTTGAGACGTGGCTCGAGGATTCATTAAATTTGGACTCGGGATTCTCAATCTTAAATTTGTTGCACAATAAAGTTTTAGATTTTTCAAGACCTCAAACTCAAACAGGATCATTTTGGATCTCTAATGACAAATATCAGAATGATGCCAGAGATGGAAATTTAAGAATATGCAAATATGAATTAGATGAACTTATAACTTTGAATTTAGTAGGTAGAAATCTCACGGACTAGAACAAAACTCCGAGCTTAGGCATTATCTTCCACAGCATGTTTAAATTAAATTAAATATGAAACTGCATTGATAAAATTCTGATTGAGAAAAGAGGTCTTTGGAAACCCTATATAAATAACCTTCTATTGATCAAATTGATCTAAAAACATGTACTATTTAGTTAGATTTATAATTATTTTATAAATTATATTGCAAACTCTAAAAATATTGCAATGAAGATTTCAGAAATGGAGTATAAAGGTGTGCAATGAATTTTATTAAACCAACTTCAAGTCCACATTTTGCTTGATCGTTGACTGAACTCCATATCATCATTCATTAAGCAAAATATCTGATTCTCTTTGAAGAAGAAAATTCTTCTAATTTTTTGGCGATTTTCTTTAACCTCGATAACTTTGGAATTGGAACCCATTTCCACCCCTTAAATTAATATTTTTTTTGTAATTGCCATTTATAATTTTTGTTGGCCTGTAAAGTATAAAGTACATACATTTTTTAACGTTTTTTTGAGAGATTTTGATTGAGAGAGATCAAAATGTGAATACAATTGTGTTGATACAGGTCAGGATTCACTTCGTTGTAGTAAGTTTTACGTTGTATTGTTAACCTTTTTAGAGAATGTATAGAAGAATGCATCTATATAAAGAAAGATGTTACACTATCATTATAAGAACGGTTTTTAAAACTTGTGAATGAAAGTTTTAGCATTAGACTCAAACAGGATAATTTTGGAGTGTAGGAAGAAAGCAGCATCATCGGAGTGGTACCGGAGACCCCGTCCCACCGGAGACCCCAGCCGCTACCATACCGGAGACCCCGAAGTTTTCATCGGAGACCCAAATAAAAAATTAACATTTTTGAAAATGTAAATTGGTTTTTGTGGCATAAAAACCTATATAAATTCATTTTATCATAAACTTTTAAATTTGGATATTATTTTATGCATTTACAAAAAATCTACAACATTTTAAAAAATTTAAAAATTATCGTGGTGTTTATTATTCATATCCTTATTAGACTTTACACCCTCCGCCTTCCCTCTCTACCTGTCTACCCCCCCCCCTCTTTACAAATTTAGCTCATCCCTCATCTATAATTTTCTGAAAATCACGAATAAATAAAAGGAAAGGTACATTCAAAAAATTTTATTAATTTCGTTTGTCCAGCTGTTACATGGAAGGAATGGAATGTGAACATTTCAATAATTTACTTCCAATTAGACTTAGTATTTAAACTGACACTGGATACTGCACGATCTACAATAATTGTTATCAAACACATGTTTAAAAAAATATTTCTTTTCTTGGTATAACTACAATTTCAAAAATTGACAAGAGATCACATTTGGGGAAGTTTTGAAAATGTTTTTGTTTGACAAAAAATACATTTTCCTATAACATAAGACCATTTAAAGGTCTTTGAATAATTCTTTAATAAGCAGTTTCGTGCAATGCTAAAAGCACCCCTCACCCCACATTTTGCCATTACATTAAGAAATATGCAAAATTATAAAAGCACACTGTTTGAACACTCTAAGGAATCATCTTTGGTAATATATTCCGTCAGGGATAGGAACTCATATTCGGTCTGTAAATATAATCTGATTTTTTCACTGTTAACTTATTGGCAAACTTTAGCAGGAGCCATTGCTTGATAATGAGCCAGTAAATTTAGAAATTTTGGAGTTCATTGATTTTCCTGTCGTAATTGTTTTTTCAGTTTTCTGAAAAAACCAGCGATGGGATAAAATGTCCGATAGTAGAATTCGATCCTGAGGCAAGACCTCAAGACAGGCTCGAATTAATTCCTGACATTCACTCGAAATATCTTTTGGAAAATCGAGCTTAGCTTCGCAGATTTCCTTGTCATTCTCGAAGGGTATGTCACCCACCACCATGTCGTAAAGCAGAATGCCTAAGGACCAAACTGTCGCATGGTCAGCAAAATATTTTGAGGTTTGAATCCACTCTGGAGGCGCGTATACTCTTGTCCCGTCAAAGTCAGTGTATGCTTCCTCCTTAAGATGAGCTCCTGACCCAAAGTCGATCAGCTTTAGCTGCAGACTGTGAAGATTAACCATCAGATTTTCATCCTTGATGTCCCTGTGAACCACACCCTTATCCTGACAAGCCTCTATAGTGTTGACAACTTGGCGGAGGAAGTTTTTGGCAAGATCTTCCTCCAAGCATCCCCTCTCTGTTATAAAATCAAAGAGGTCTTTGGATGCGGGCAATCTGTCTAAGATGTACACAAAGGAGTCTTTTCTTTCAAAGAAATCCAGTATTTTGATAACTCCCTGGACTGATTGGACGTCAAGAAGCAGTTTTAATTCTCGTGGCATACTTTTTCCATCAACCTAAAGAAATATTATTATCAATGTATGCGTCGATTTAATATGCAGCTAAATATTTTAATATGGATAAGGCATTTTTATTTTTACAAATTTGCAACATGTCACTTGTGCAATTTCTGGACAAATTGAAAAATAGTAACAAAATGTTTTTTTTGCCTTATTGAATATTGTAACATTGCAAGTTTGATGATAAGTTCAAGTTAAGTTCAAGGTTAACAAGTTTAAAAAGAGTAATTTGAGCCATGAGCCACTAAACCCTTCAGTTTGGCCTCGTGAGCTTACAAAGAGTCAGATTTTATGATATACAAGTTACTGTGCTGTTTACATATACAATACTGTGTTGTTGTCTTTGAACAAAAATTTAACTACTACCTTTTCCCACTCAACAATTTTAGATTTTGCCACATGTTTTATAGCAACTTGTCGCCCATCCTTTATTCGGAACCCAGCGTAAACTGTCCCAAAGCCTCCCTTGCCGAGTAGGCGACCAACTTTATAGATTCGGTCAAAAGCCCGTTTTGCAGGTTTTCGAAGAAGTGTCCTTATTTTAACACACTCCTCACAGTACTTGGAGGCGTCAATCCCCACCTCGACAGAATCCTCGCTCATTTTTGACACAAGTTTTCCAATTTGTCTACAATCAACAAATTTCACGAGTCAAAGTACGTCCGAGGAGTGTGAAACTGTAGTCGTGTATTCTGTGTGTTCTCCACGCTGCAACTATTCTTACAAAAATACAGACTACAGTTCCTACAGTTTAAACCTCGGATACTCACACCTTACAAGCAGAACACGGCTCACCACGCGACACAGTTTATAGAGCTGAGAGAGAGAGGGATGGGATCAAGCCTCCGACCCGTACCTTCCTTTTTCAGCTCTTTCGACCGTCCTGTGGAGACCCAACCGGTACGATTCATGACGTACTTTGTGTGCAGCTTCCAGCCCCCGGGAAAATATAGTGAAAGTTCCCTTGCGTAAAGAAATTCAACTCTGCGTAGATAGATGTGTTCTAGTCGTTCTAGACGAGTAAATATTTGTACCATCCCATACAGTGGCGTACATAGGGGGGGGGGCAGTAGTCCTCTTGCCCCCCACCCCCCCTGGCGAAAATCCTGTGTACGTGCCTGCCAGAGCAAACGATTCCTTGGGTTGAGGCAATTATGAGCATTGGGCATTTTTATTTTTAAGAAATCAGCATGCTTAATTTAATTAAACCAGTGCGAAAATGTCAAATTAAATCATTTGTTTCGAAAAATCAAAAACTGGAAACAAAAATCGATTAAAAATACTATTAACAAGCTTAAATGTAATTAACCTGTTATTTTTGCTTTGTCTAAAAGTAGAAATAAACTGTTTCAAGTGCACCAGCACAAATATTTCACTATTATTACAATGTACTCGGAATGCCGCACTAATTAAACGAAAACTTACAGTATAGGAATCATATATATATATATATGTTAGTACATTAGAATATGTACCCATATGCAAACAAGAAGTTTCTTAGAAATAACTCCGATTTGCAGATTGTTTTATATATATACACACATATATATTACAGTATAGGAATCACATATATATATATATATATAGAAACTTCTTGTTTGCATATGGGTACATATTCTAATGTTTTATTCCAACTGATGATTGGGTTAGACCCATGAAACATTTTGTCTTGGAAGAAATATATATTTAAAAAGCATTAAATTTGATAATTTTGATAATTCACATATTAGTTTCCTACGACCAGAATATTTCCTTGATTTTTTTATGTGAAAGATGGATCCCATGTCAGGCTGTAACATCTGTCTTGTGTTTACATTACCGCCCAGAGACAGTACACTGCAGTACAAAGGATGAGTACACTTTTGAAATAACTTTCTTTGCATTACATCTTTGGAGAGAAAAGGTGTTGAAACTCAGTTCACATAGCTTAGACTTTATGTCCGCTGCGTCTGCAGTCTTTATCAATGTTTGATCATGGTTTACACCATCTGGTTATAAAGATAAAGTAGTTTGATTATATTTTTTTTATCAGTTTTGTGAATATCATTTGGGTTTTATTGGCGTAAATAATTTTAACCATGCCAATAAATATTAAAAAAATCAAGAGTTTTACCTTGAAATACAAAAATTATTATGTGCATAATGTACTTTTAACGATAATTTAGTTATTAATTTCTCGTCACGAAATTTTACCGTGTTTCCGGAGAATTGAAAAATTACAGATGTTTTTTATTAATAATTATTACTTTTTTTCTGCAATAATTTTAACCTTCGTGCAAATTTGTGCAGTAACTATTAATTAGTCAACTACGCACCACAGGAAGTTCTAGAAATATTTACTTTTTCATTTATTATTATCAGTTTTTATTAAGGGCATAATTAAATTGTACTTACAACATAGGTTTGGCCAAATACAATAATGTTTACTTGATATATATGGCATCTATAAAAATTTTACTATTCAACTCTATCTTTTGGTTTTTTAAATCAATGCAATTATATTTCATTTAATTTTTTTTACTAAAACTTAGGTATTTTCATACCTTAATGTATCTACTCATTATATATTAATAAGTTACATATTAAAAATTAAGATTTTATCGTTGATATTTTCACAATTCGATGTAATAATGCCTGAAAGTGTGTGCAGAATTTTTAATTTTGCACACACTTTAATTTTTAATTTTGCACAGAATTGCATGGCATGCATATTGCTTATTATAAATGCCGTACTTATGCTGTATATACACCCAATGCATTGGTTAATGGAGCATTCTATTTCTTGCCCAATCCTCTCAAATAACCTTTGATCCAAATATATCAAACGCATTTAGCTCTTCTGTAGATATTAAAAATCTTAATGAGTCTCCAGTACAAAGTTCAATTTTTTAATTCGTATTGGGTTATACATATAGAGAAATTGACCTAGTAGAAAGATGTTAACAACAACACTAATCTATTTATAAATTTAGCTTGTCTGTCTGGTTTTTAATTGTTTGTCTGTTTGTTTTTATTTAATAAACGTCAAACGGCTGAACCGATCAAGCCCAAATGTTGTGTGGGACCTTACGTGACCCTAAGGAAGGTTTATGAATGATCAAAATTTCAAAAATTTGCGTTTAAAAGTTTTTAATTTTTATAAAATTTTGAAAATGTGCGAAAAAATATTATAAAATCCGCAAACTTTGTTCTGTTTTTGTTTTGTAAACTGTACAACGAGAAGATGCTCACAAATAAAGCTACACTTAAAATCTAAATGGGCGCGAAGCGCCCTAAAAGCCTAGTATAGATAGATTGTGATTAAAACAGCATTTTTTATCTTAATAAATATAAATGTACAGGGTCGTTACGGGGGGGGGGTATCAGCATATACACTTTTCAAAAGGAACACAGTGATTATAAGCTCAGATGATTGTTTTGAATGTATTTTGTAGTTTGCTAGAAATAAAAAAAATCTTACACTTCGAACTAGACGGAAGGAGAAGCTCAAATTTATACGACATTATAATCACGGTTTTGAGACCTCATAGCTGTTATAGTTTTGCTCTTACAAACAAGCGAGGAAATCAAATTTATCCGATAGCGTATTAAAAATTCAAAACCATTTTGCTTTTTATCAATCGCCTCTCAATAAGAGAAGTTATGATTGAACACGTATAAGATTTCAATCTAGAATAAAGTTTACTTTAGTTTGACGTGATCTATAAGATTTCAATCAAGCATGAAGTTTACTTTAGTTTGTTGTGATCTATAAGATTTAAATCTAGCATGAAGTTTACTTTAGTTTGTTGTGATCTATAAGATTTCAATCTAGCATGAAGTTTACTTTAGTTTGTTGTGATTTCAATCAAGCATGAAGTTTACTTTAGTTTGTTGTGATCTATAAGATTTAAATCTAGCATGAAGTTTACTTTAGTTTGTTGTGATCTATAAGATTTCAATCTAGCATGAAGTTTACTTTAGTTTGTTGTGATTTATAACAATTGTATATGTAAACCAGGATATCATTGAATTTCAGCAATAATGACAAAATAATGATCACATCGAGGTAATCATTAAATAAAAATTGTATTTTCTTTATTTATTGTGAATTATTTTCTTTTAATTGTATGTAACAAAGAAAGCCAATTTCTTTATAAAACCTAAATAAAAACAAAAAACAAAAAAGCTTTAAAAATAGTATAAAACACAATGGTTAATTGCTTTGAAATTTTTTTCCCCATAGAGGTTAGCGATATCCTAGGATATTTTGTCCGATTTGTAAATCTTTTTCATACAATCATTTTTTTTATAAATTCGAAAGCTTTTTTGTTGTTTATTTTTTTGCTAAACAAAATAAATTGATTTTAGGATTTAATGAGATGTGGATATTGAGGTTTTGGAGGAATGATGTCAGACTAGCCCTGTAGGTATAGAGCTGCTGCTAAACTGCATCCTCCTTAAACTGTTGCATCCTTCAAGGTTACCTCTAGCTTTAAGATACATTCAGGCTAAATCCAATAAAGTTTATACAATACATACACTTAACTTTTAGGATATTGAATAAAATTTCAAAACATTGTTTCAGTTCAAATTTCAATTATGTCTCCTCGCTTTTTCCTTTTTTTACTTTCTACAAGTGGCCAACTATTCTCAAACTTTCTCTTTTGTCCAAACAACCCCCTTATGTACTTTAACTCAATATTCCTAAGATTTATTTAACATTTGAAAACTCACATCCAACTACCCTTACCTTCCCTCGCATTCCCTATGCGAGGGAAGGTAAGGGTAAATTCAAAAAAAATCCAAATTTAAAATATATCTTCCTTCGTCAAAGAATTTTTCAAGACCAAACCCTACCCTCTGGATCAGTTGAACTCGGATAGTCCTGGTTACGAGGCAGGACCTCTGTTACTAGGCTAAGGATTGACCTTGCTCAAACCCCAAATATACAGAAAATCTTAAATGATAGGGAATAAAACATAAATTAGGATTCATTTGGAAGTTTTAGAATTTTTAAATCAAGCTATGAACATTCCCGTTGGTAGAGCGAGTTTCCCAATCAAAATTTGAGGCAAATCGGTCAACGGGTTCACGAGTTATGATCGGATATACAGACAAACAAACAAATAGAGATTTCTACTCTTTATATATCTTCTATGTATATATAAAGTTGTAATCTCTGTTTGTTTCTCCGATCACAATTCAGGAACCCCTGGACCGATTTGCCTCAATTTTTGATTGGGGAACTCGGAGAACCACGGGATTGTTCTTAGCTTGTTTTTAAGATTTTAAGTTGATTGGGTCGGCTTTTAAAGCGACAATATAGTATTCCAGTAAAGTCGACCAAGTGTGGTTAAACGGCTGCATCAACAATAAGTACACTGGCCAACGCTGGGTTTCAAAGCTAGTATATATATATATATACTTTGTTAATTGACTGCAGAGGCGGAGCAATCCGAAACAGTTTGTATTAATAAAAATGAAAACTGTGAAGCTGCTCTGAGTATTACTTTATTATAGTTGTATATAAAAATCCAAAAATAAATAAATATCATAGGGATTTTAACGACCTCTGCATAATGCATACAGGTTATAGCAGATTTTTTTTTATATCTTTCCGTCTTACGATACTGAGCTTTATGCAATAGTAGTTTTGTTAAATTTGAAGATTACTTGAAAATGCTAAGAGATAATATTTTAAGATAATTTTTGGTTTCTATTTTTAAAGATCAGATTAGATTGTAACCTACGTATTATTCAATTAAAGAAAAGGTTAAGAGGTTTTGAACTTTTGAGTCTATTTTAGGAAAGAGTCT